ATGTATAATAATGATGCAGGCTCAAATACTTATTAAAAGATACTGACAATCAAAAAGTTTACAGAGCACTACAACCCCTCCATCTGACCTTTGCATCTTGTTCTCCTCTGTCTTCTTAGGTTGAAAGGCCTGATTCTAACGAGTTTATTTCACTATCTGTCATGAGTTAAAAACAAATGATTCTAACAAAAATAAGATCTAAACAGTATTAGTGCATCATTTCTAAAACTGTTTTTCAATCCCAACCAAAATTATCAAAATGTAGTTAAATTTTCACCTTCCATAATCAAGAAGTATTCATTTTATTTTCAACAAATGGGTTTGAAACATACTAAACTCTTCAGAATATTTTTTTAGAAGATTTTTTATTTACTTATTTGAGAGAGAGAGAATGAGAAAAAGCACATGAGAGGGGGGAGGGTCAGAGGGAGAAGCCGACTCCCCAGTGAGCAGGGAGCCTGATGTGGGACTAGATCCTGGGACTCCAGGATCATGACCTGAGCCGAAGACAGTCGCCCAACCGAGCCACCCAGGCACCCACTTCAGAATATTTTAAACAGAACAGAAAATTCTGTGTCCAAAATTTTTTGACAAATGTGAGAATTTTTGTTTTTTACAAACTTTCATTGTTTGTAAAACAATTTTATTGCTATCCTAGCAATAAAATATCAAACAGAAATAGTTCCAAACATCCATTTTCAAAATGCTCAACCCCCAGCACATTTCTTTGAAGTCATTACATTCTCATTGCTGAAATGTCACCTTTATCTTGAAGAGACAGATGAAATGTTTATTTTCTTTGAGGTAGGTATCATAATACATTCATCCACATGTCATCAAAATAAAGGTCAACAAATTTAGAACATCTGTCTTTTGGTAAAATAAAAATGTATTCCAAGTTCAATAGCACTTCTACATAGTTTGACCCATAGAGAACATTTTGAGATAGCAAAGATTTTGTCATTGCTCTCCACCCCACATCACTTAGGTAGAATTGTAAAGCTCTACTCTATTTTAGAGGTTTTTTTGACAATTATGTATTCATACATTTTTATAAAATTAACTACATTAGTGACCTCCGTTAACACTCTGGCACTTTGGATCTTTCCTGTAACTATGAGTGATTCCATGAATGATCTCTAGTGCTATTCATTTAGGCTACAAATAATCTATTGAGGAATAACCAAAACAGAAAAAGATCCTTGGCAATATCACTCTAGCAAGGAAAGATTAACAAGATCATTAAGTAATTATATACTATGTTAGATGGCAACAAGTACAAAGGAAAAAACCATAGAACAGGGATGTTATTTGAGGCTAAGACCCTTGAAACTTTCAATAGGGAGCTGAGCAAAGCCCTCGCTGACAAGGCAACTCTTGAATAAATTCCTAAAGGACATGAGGAAGCAAGCCATCACATATCCAAGAAGAATATTCAACAGAGAGGGAACCGGACGTGCCAAGGCCCTGAGGGAAGAGATGTCCGGTGCATTTGAGGAAGAGGAAGGGGGCTGGTACGGTTGAGGGAAGCAAATGAGGGGCAGAGTCATAGTGAGTGAGTGACATCTTAGAAGTACTTATGGGGGTGGGGAAGATCACGAAGAGTCCTGTCAGGTCGTGAGCACTGGTTTTTTGTTTTGTTTTGTTTTTTTCCTCTTTCTCTGAATGAAACAGGAAGTCCAGTACTGAAGTGTGGTAGGTAAAAGAGTGGTATGACTGACTTGCGCTATTCATTCATTTATTCATTCATCCATTCATTCATATCAGTATGGACTCGTGTACTTATTTTATTCTGTGAATGAAAACCCAATCCTGTATTTTTTGTTGTGGCTCAAATTGGTCTAGCTCTTAGGAGCTCCTTCAGGTTGGCTCCTGTGTCTTCAACACGTCTTCATCTTTTTGAGCACTTCCTTACTTTCTGGCACCTCAGGTTGTATTTTCCCCGTACCATGAACTACTTCTCAAGGAACCCGGTTCCTTTTATTGGCGAATAGTGGTTAGGAACCAAGATCTGGGCACCAGGTGTGTTCACAGCTGCTGAGGGTCACTATGTCTAGGCCTTCACAGGGGACAGAACTAGGAATTATATGTAAGCATACTGCCTCATGTGTATACACACATCTACACATCTGTATTTCTATAACTGTCTACATAAATATTAAGAACCATGAGTTTATACTGATACTTCTGATTCCATTTCAACACAAAATTCATCTTAGCTTTTCCTTATTTGTAGCTCCTTTCTCCAACACTGAAAAACCTAGTTCTCATTATCAACCATATATTTAACTCATTTGTTCGCTTACAATATACACATAAAGTAGTTTCAGAATTGCAAACCCATACCCTTGTGAGAAACACATTTCCTCCAGCACATACATGCCGTGCTTTTTGTCTTGAGCTTTCCAGCTAACCAGTCAAGATACTGTCTGCCAGTTACTCAGGTTAGTTCTTTTCTTCCCTATTCCCTTTACTGTGAATTTTGATATTCCTTTTTGGATTCCCCCATATCCTAGATAGTTGTAATTGCTTATTTAGGGGGTATGTGAAACACTCCTATGGTTCTAAGAGTCAGAGAAGCTATACAAAGAGAGATCTCTGAGAGTGTCTGTCACACCTCACCCATGCTACATCAGACCCTTTCCCATTTCCTTTCCACCTCTTTCCTACTCACCTGCCATAGGTAACCAATCTCTTCAGTTTCCTGTTTAGCCTTCCTGTATTTATTTTCCAAACTGACCATATGCACATATATTTTCTTATATTTCATCCTTTCTTACATAAAAGGATGCACATCTCATAAATGGTCTTTTGTACTTTTTTTCACTTAAAAATACATGTTGGAACCAACTTCACATCATTTCATAGAGATATTCCTCACTGTATTTTTACACACACAATATTCCACTGTATGAACCATACCATAGCTTAGTCAATCATTTTATTATGCGTGGCCACTTAGGTTGTTTCCAGTATTTTGCAAGTTAAACAATGCTGCAATTATTAACTTTTAATAGCACAAGTATTTTGCATTATTGGAGGCATATTTTCAGGACAGAATCCTAGAAAGGTCAAAATTCATAGTTTTTAGGTATCACCAAATTGTTCTCCAGAAGATTTATACCAATTTGCATCCTATCAGCAGGGAATATAAAAGAGTGCCTATTTCCCCACAGACTTATTAACAAATGTGTTGTTACGGGTTTGAATTTCTGTCAGTGAGACAAACTCTTCTTAGGGACAAGCAAATGAGAGAAGTTCTAGCTAAGTTCTGTGCCTATTTGATAATGGAGAAAACCAAAAGACAAAACAAACAAAAAACTGTAGAAATGGCAACAGAAGACTAATGCTACCCTAAGTCTGGACTGACTTAACTGAGTGAAGATGTGACGGTTTGACGATGTGCCAACAGTCCCCCTGGGGCCCCACCGCTCCGTCTAAGGGCTCCTCCATCTGCATTCCACCACTCCTGCCCACTCCATAACAATGCCTCCATAAAGAGATGGAGTGCAGGTCTCCCAGGGCCCTTGATTCCTCTGCCAGCAGGAGGGCACAGACTTCATCTCTAAATCCCATCTAAATATTTATCAGTAAGTATTTAAAACACAAGGATGGTATCTTCTATCCAAAAAGGGCAGGGGGAGGCAAGTTTTAACAACCGTCTTAGTGAGGAGAGCTAGGAAATGTATGTGTACATACTAACCCACATGTATACACAAATTTATATCTCTGTATTTGTATAAATATTAAAAACCAGTTTACATTGATTCCCTGATTCCAATCGAACACCACAAAGTTCATTTTAGCCTTTGTTCATTGCCTTTCCTAGAATATTTTTCACTTCCACAAAATAATCTAACACTACTTCTGAAGTAGTCTGTGACAAAAAGAGTGCTCACTGATCTATCACAGTCTTGATCTGGCCATCGAAGTATGTCCAGACTGCAGAATTTATTATCATGCACTATACTGTTCACAATTTGATGACATAAGCATTTCAATGTAATGCCACATTTCCAAAACAAGAACTCTAATTTGACTAAGCTTGAGGTGGGAGTTACTCATCCATGACATTTAGGTCATTTTAATAATCTGAGTAAAGCGAATATTATACTAATTGAATAATTACTTGAATCTAAGTCCCTATCTTGACTACACTTTGCAAAGTTTTACCTATACTCCATCTGCTAAAGCCCACATAATTTCTACGGTCAAAATTCCATTTTTAACATTCCTTTGGAAGGGCTGTTTCACTTCTCCCAAATATAACTGTCAAAAATCAAAGGGAATTTGTAGGCAGCTAGCAATTTCACTTCATAGGGTTTGTTTCCTTTATAGATGGAAGGTAAATGTTGCATATATTTTTGTGCTCATTTCAAAATCACATGAAAATCTCAGTGAAAACTTTAAAAGACAGTAGACTGTGTACATGGTATTACTTTGGGATGGTGCCAAAAAGATGAACTGAACCGCCAACTTGACTGTAAAGAAATATCTGGATCGATTTTTTAAAATATCTGACAGAGCTGATGCACACTGTGGACTAAAGGCCTGTCAAATGCTGTCTCTTAATGTTAAATCTTAATTGAACCATTTTGTCTTAAAGAGTAACCGCACAAATATAAATACAGTTGGAAATTCTCATTTCTAAAGTTTTTAACTTCTTTTTTTGGGGGGGGTTTATTACTTTTATTTTTTTCCCCCTTTAAATTTTTGTTATGTTAATCACCATACATTACATCATTAGTTTTTGATAAAATGTTTCTGATTTAAATGTACAATATTTGTTTTTAAGATTTACATTTATTGCACAGCTTGATATACACATTCTACTGGTACGCACAAAATACTCCTGTATACAAAATTAAAAATTCCTATTTTACGGGTTTTTACATTATAGTAACCATTTAATAAACAATTCTTGCAAGTGAACCTTTATGTTGACTAGAGTAAATGTTACAAAACTGTGGCTTAATTAAATATTTGTTACTTCTACTTACTTCTGTGCTCCCTGAGACAACAGCTTTGTCCACGTTCACTGATGATGGCTCCTCTATCTGGCACACTCCCAGTGACCACTCCACACAACGGTGATGAGCCCAACAAGTGCCTAAAACAGTTGAAGTGAAAAGAAGCAAATGAATAAACAGGAAGCATATTAACGCTAATTAAGATGTAAAGCCCCCAAACTAACTCTGACATGTAGACACACAATGGCACCCTGTATTTGCGATCATACTAAAGCAGTCAGCCCTTCCCAAATGTATCATCTGGGAACTTGTTAGAAATGCAAAATGTCAGAGTGCCTGGGTGGCTCAGTCGGTTAAGCATCTAACTCTTGATATGGGCTCAGGTCATGATCTCAGGGCCCCAGGATCAAGCCCCACATCACGCTCTGTGCTCAGCAGGGAGTCTGCTTGAGGATTCTCTCTCCCCCTCTCCCTCTGCCCCTCCCCCCGTGCTCTCGCACACACTCATGCTCTCTCTCTCTCAAATAAATAAATCTTTAAAAAAATTTTAAAAAAAAATGCAAAATATCCTACCACAACCAAGACCCACTGAATCAAAAACTTGTAGTGGTTCCCAGAAATCTATGTTTTAACAAGCCCTCTAGGTGATTCTGATGCACACAAGTTTGACAATCACTGAAGGAGTGATTTTTTTCAACAAAAAATGAGTTCTTAGTCATTCTATTTAAATTTTACTATATTTTATTTGGTATCTTTACATAAAAAAATAAAGGACATTATATAATACTTTATGACAAAGAGAATGAATGGCAAATAAGCTACATTTACACCTCCAGTCACTTCATCCCACACCAAGAGCCCACATCAATCACTAAAAACCTGTCAGTCCTTCAATTCTCTACCACACAACACTTGAACCACTATCAATCAATATGTAGTTCAACTGAAATTAACTCAAAATCCCAAAAGCACCATATCATGATTATGTGTTATCTTATAATAAGATAGCCACATGGCTAAGAGCTACTGTCTTTCACCCTGCATCAAATAGACTCAGACATCCAAGTTCCCCAACTTCTCACAGTTCCTTTTAAAATTTTCTTTCCTCAATTATCAGACCTCCATGGCCCTACTATCTACATAAGAATAAACACAAAGATTTATAAAAGCATCCAGCTCAGTGTTGGCCCTGTGCAGATGCTAAATAAATTACATATACATAATTAGACAATTTATTTTACCTAAGCAAGCATACTTAAACAATGACATTTTTTACAATGTGATAATTATTTCTAGATGAAAGGTATTTACTATTAAGTTGATAACTCACTAAAATTAAAATGTCTACAGAATCATCAAAAACTAATGATGTAATGTATGGTGATTAACATAACATAATAAAATAAAAATAAATAAATAAATAATGTCTACAGAATCAAGAGATAGTTATCCACTGAAGACCAGCTCCTACCTGTAGGATCAAATAAGGCTTGGATATCAATAGCATCTGGAAGGCCAACCAGACTGAGTTCATCCCATAATTTACCAGCCTGATCATCTGAAGCGGTCTGCGTGCTTACACTTACACAAGATACTATATTCTGCAGAGGAGATCGTTCTCTGGAAAAATAAAACAAAACAAAACAGATGTGAAAGTGGTAACAAGTAAATAATTATTTTGTTTATAACAACTTAGTATAATGTATTGCCAAATCAATTTTAATTTATTAGGCATAAACTGTCATAAAACAACTTGTAGAATACAACTGTTATTATTCATAGTGTAATATAAAACTGGGTTGCTATATTTTATCATGTAAGCAACAACTAAAAAGAAAGTATCCAAATCCATAAGGAAGTGTTAAAAATTACAGTTACAAGTTTATTTTGCCATTCTATAATTTTTTTAATGACACTCTAATATTCTAATCAGGAACTATATTTTATCATAAAATAAATATTCCCTTCAGCCTCAGTTAAATGCTTATGAAACATAACTGGATCAGAAATTTTAATTTGCTTTATTGTGAGGACTAGCACAATGGAGCTGGCAGTTAATGTTATGTAAAGAAAGGTTATTTCCCAGAGGAAATGAAAACCCACTACAAAGTGTGAAGAGGGAGGTAGTGGGAGCAGATGTGTCAGCTGGAGCTTTCTTACAGGCCCCTCAACAAACCTCGACAGCTGGTCTGTGGCATGATGTTGCAAGTACTCTCTAGTAAGACTTTACCTCACAAGTCAGAAGTAAAATGCAAAAACAAAATAGCTACTAGTGGGGTGGGGAATAAAGATGACAATGTAACAGTAAAAACAGCAGTATAGAAATGAACACTGAATAATAAAGCATACAACACATGGGCGATTTCAGACTTTCAAAGCCTTCAAACTTCAGCTACTAATTGAGATCATTAAGTAAACAATGACTACTACTGTGTCTAAACATTAAATATGGGAAATCAGATGACTGGCACTAAAACTTTAATCTTCTCCTGATATCATAGTATTTAACCTGATCATAATTCTGGATTAAATCACTATTGAATATAGATCATAACTCACTGCACTTCTGTATGCTGGATATTTATCATGATTCCTATTAAGAGAAAATCAGCACAATGACCAGGGTACTAAACTTTTTTATACCTGGAATCATTGAAAGAAAAAAAGTATTAACATATTTCAATAAGTACATTTAAATATCAAGCCATATAAAAATAACCAGTTTTTTTTATGTTCAGCATTAGAAATGCATAGACTCACTTTTTTAGCATGCTATTCTAACTTTAAATTCTCATTTTTATAAATGCCCCCAATATAATGAGAACAAACTCTTTCCTATAAATATGATCTCCATTCCTACAAATAGATTCTTCATTACTAATCATTGTTCTTTTATTGGGAGGGGGGAAAAAGACGAACAGTTCATCTATAAAGATTAATGTATTGTTCTAAGATATTTCCTTTGTACCAGTATTTGAAGGGGGAGATGGGTATAAAAACTAATGAAATGACTAATCAGTCTATTACTAACCAATTCCTAACCACTAGCTTAATCATATTTCACCTTTAGGTTCTGCAATCAGTTTTTATGGATATGCCATATCAGTGAGATGCTGATGTCAACCCTAAGGATGACAGCAGCCCAACTTAAGAAAGACCATCAGGAGAAGACAGCTGAAACACATACCCCCAAAATTTAAGTCTAAAACAAAAGAGAAAAAGACCTCCAATTACATATTCTTACAATTTAATGCCATCAAGAGAGAAAAATTCTTTTTAAAACCTCCTCTTCATATTAAAAACAAAAACAAGCTTATGTGGTTTCTACTCATCAGTAATATATTGTGTAACTATTTAAAATCATTACCAAACTAAACTGTCTACCCCTAAATGAATTCCAAATTTTATAAATGTGTTTTACTCCTAAAGTCCATTAACTGTCTTGTTATCATTACTTAATACACTGGTAAACACTAAGTGTATATAAAGACTAAACCAAGGATCCTTTTTACATACTTATCTTAGCCCATAAAAGTTTTCACCAAAAATTAACTCAGCTTATAAAATAAGTAAACGAAGCCCAACTGTATTTCCCAGAATAAGTGTTTATATAATTGCCATTATTCAAAGGGAGAACATGAGAATATGAGATATAAGCTGGTTCAGTCCATTAGATTTGCTAATTACTGATGGACATTACAAGTTTGCTAGACTTTTGATGTATTTTATTAGGATGTGAGCACTCAATTGATTCCAAAAGGAAAAGCTCCTCTGTATGATCTAGCTCTGGCCTTTCAAACTTTCAAACATCAAGATGCTAAACATAGGACTTCTAAACTTCCTTAAGCTGTTCCACCTTAAATTTTTTTAAAAGATTCTCTTTGTTATTGTTTCATTTCCTACTTCAGGTCTTCAAGGCATTGGCTGCAGTCCAAAAGAAGGAGCCAATCACATAAGGACAACACAACAATGCCTTAGTACCTAAATTTGGATAGAAGCCAGATAAGCACTTGGAGGATTACATCATCACCCTCAAGGGGCAGAGCTGGTTGGCCTTCCAAGCTAAATTAATTTTACACTTTCTCATCGACTACAGAAACTTCTACTCCCTCAACTACCAGAGCCAAATCCACATATTAAGATAGCCTTTAAACAAAACTTAGCAACATACAAAAAAAATTTTTAATTCCAAAATTAAACTTATCAGAGAGAAGTTTTAGGTAACTATAATGTTGATGAACACAGACACACATGTATAGTTATACAAATACCTTAGTAAATTATTATTTCATTAAAAAAGAAAAGAGCTTCTTCTTTAACTTTAGAAAGGGCATTCTGAGCATATAATTACTTAGAAAGAAAGTTAACCCTGTACTATAACAGATTATAGGACAGGCTCAATATCCTCTGAACCATAAAAATAACTTAAATGATAAATAAAGAACATGGGTAGAGGAAAAAAAAAGAACATGGGTAGAGAAAACCATCTTGGTTTTCTTATTCTGTTAGGTTATATTCTTACAAACAATCAAAAACTTATTCAAAGGAACAAAAGAAAGACTTCACTGATCTGTTTTACCTTCTTTCCATAAACTCCTTCTAGGTTTATGTTATGTTCTTTAAAGTTTTCTTCTAAAGGTTAACTTTTGTGATCACACTGATTTTAATATACAATTAAGATAACACACTTTTTTTACACAAGAAATTTTGAGAAATGGAGTGTTTTATGGTGGTAATGGTGAGGCATAAAGCATCCTACGAATGTTGAAAAACATGAGAAATGATTCAGTAACAACCCCATTTGTCTATTCACTGAGATGAAAATACATTATAGATAGCCTTACTGCATTCCAACCATTTATTCAAAATTGCTTACTTTCTCTGTCCTCTTTGTTTTCGTGGTGCTGAGTTTTGTATTTTCTCACAGGTTCCATTGCTGTTGTCATCAATGTCCTTCTTGCTAGAAGGCTGGCTTTTCCACGGCAACATAAACCCAGGCGTTACTCTAAATTGTTTTAAGTCTCCTTGTCCTAAGGAACTTTTTTCACCACAGTAACAAAAAGCGCAGAGCTGTTCACTGGTTGAAATGAAAAGTAAGAAAGACAGGAGAAAGTAGTTTTATTCAACTATTTTTAAAGTGACAGACTATAGGTACTTGTGCTTTAAAATTAAATATTACGACATTAGCGCAAGCTAAGCTTGAGTATGTATAGGCTATAAGAACAATTAAGTTTAATAATCAATTATACATTAGCAATTCATAGCATGACTTTTTAAAGTAGACCTACCAAATCAAAAAATTCCAACTTGTACTTAGAAAAACAATTTTAATCTAATTCAAGAAAAGTGTAAGTAATAAAGAAGAATGAAGAAGGTAAAGCTGAGGCTGGGAAAGAGGGAAGGGTTTAATGGCCACTGGACAACATACCAGCTGGAAAACCTGTGATGACAAAGTTTTATTGAAGCACCTGATGGACCATTCTTTAGCATGACACAGATATAAAACACACGTGAACACAGAGACATAAAAATGTAGATTTAAGGGCTTACTGGGGTAAGTAGTCAGTGATGAGGGGTGTGTGTGAAAGAGTTCAATAGAAGTGGAAAAGGGATAAATAGGTAGGGCACAGGCAATGTTAGGGCAGTGAAACTATTTCCCATGATACACTGTAATGGCAAATGCATGACATTAGGCATTTGTCAAGACTGATAGAACTATATAAGAATGAACCCTAATGTAAACTATGGTGTTTAGTTATTAGTAATGTATCAATACTAGTTGTAACAATTGTAACAAATGTACCACACTAAGGCACAATGCTAATAAAGGGGAAACTCAGGGAAGGAGGGCAGGCTGGGAACGGGAACTCTGTACCATCTGCTCAATTTTTCTGAAAACGTAAATTTATTCTAAACATCTATTAACTCCAATAAAATTAAAAAGTTAAAAGACAAAAACAATATATGCTTATGGAATAGATGCTTAATAAGGGACCTTAGAAAGAACAGAATTGAAAGACTGCTCCTTGAAAGGAGAACCGTCTTGCACTGTTGGTGGGAATGTAAACTGGTGCAGCCACTGTGGAAAACAGTATGGAGGTTCCTCAAAAAGTAAAAAATAGAACTACCCTATGATCCAGCAATCACACTCCTGGGTATTTACCCAAAGAATACAAAAACACAAACTCAAAGGTGCATGTGTACATGCACTCCCTACGTTTACTGCGGTATTATTTACAATAGCCACAATATGGACACAGCCCAAGTGTCCGTCGAATGATGAATGGATAAGATGTAGTTTATACACAATGGAATATTAGCCATAACAAAGAATGAAATCTTCCCATCTGCAACAACATGGATGGAGTAGAGACTACTATGCTAAGCGAAATAAGTCAGAGAAAGACAAATACAGTATGATTTCACTCGTATGGAATTCTGTTGTTGTTTTGGGGCTTTTTTGTTTTTTAAAGATCACATGCATCTTTGACTTTTTATTACAGAAACTTTTGAACAAAGATACAAAAGTAGAATAATAGTTCATAAATGCTCATGAACCCATCAATCAGCTTTACCCGTTAGCAGTATTTTGTTTTTCTCATTTTATCCATCTACCCCTTATTTTATTATTATTTATGATGGAGTATTTTATTTTATTCAAGTTTTTATTTAAATTCCAGTTAGTTAACAAACAGTGCAGTTAATTAGTTTCAGGTGCAGAACCTAGTGATTCTTCACTTCCATACAACACCAGGCGCTCAGCAGGACAAGTGCCCTCCTTATAATCCCCATCACCTATTTCATCCATTCCCCAGAAACACACCTCCCCTGTGTAACCCTCAGTTTGTTCTCTAGAGTTAAGAGTCTGTTTCTTGGTTTGCATCACTCTTTTACTTTTTCTTTTCCCTGTGCTGATATGTGGAATTTAAGAAACAAAACAGAAGAACAATGGCGGGGCGGGGGGTGCGAGGGCAGCAGCAAAACAGAAAACAGATTCTTAACTACAGAGAACACACTGCTGGTTGGGAGAGGGGAGGTGGGCGGGAGGACAGGAGAAACAGGTGATGGGGATTAAGGAGTGCACTTGTTGTGGGGCGCCGGGGTGGCTCAGTCGTTAAGCGTCTGCCTTCAGCTCAGGGGCTCAGGTCATGATCTCGGACTCGAGCCCCGCATCTGGCTCCTTGCTCCGCGGGAAGCCTGCTTCTCCCTCTCCCACTCCCCCTGCATGTGTTCCCTCTCTCACTGTGTCTCTGTCAAAAAATAAATAAAATCCTTTTTTAAAAAAAAAAGGGAGTGCACTTGTTGTGATGAGCACTGGGTGATGTGTGGAAGTGTTGAATCATATTACTGTACACCTGAAGGTAACATTACACTATTTCTTTTAAAAAGATTTTATTTATTTGACAGAGAGAGACACAGCGAGAGCAGGAACACAAGCAGGGGGAGTGGGAGAGGGAGAAGGCTTCCCGCAGAGCAGGGAGCCCGATGTGGGGCTCGATCCCAGGACCCTGGGATCATGACCTGAACCAAAGGCAGCCGCCCAGCAACTGAGCCACCCAGGTGCCCCACATTACACTGTATTTTAACAAACTGGAATTTAAATAAAAACTCAAAAAAATACCAGAATAAAAACAGTATTTCTTAGCTTAAAAAAAATTATATTTCATTCATTATGGATTTTTCTGCATTGATGTTAATTTTTTAAAATATTGTTTTAGGTGCATCTGGGTAGCTCAGTTAAGCGTCTGACTCCTGATTTCGGGTCAGGTCATGATCTCAGGGTCATGTGAGATTGGGCTCTGCACTCAGTGGGGAGTCGGCTTGAGATTCTCTCTCTCCCTCTACTCTCTCAAATAAATTAAATCTTTAAAAAAATACATTGTTTTAAAGTATTACTTAATACTTTTGTCACCATAAAAATGGAAAAAATATTTAAAAATTATAATAAAGAGAATAAAAGGACTGCTCCTCTTGGATATATTTTCTCTTCATGACATATTTACAGCTGCTGCACCCAAACCTTACTTCTCAGGCACTGAAGTTTGCACCATAACCTCGTACTATCTACTCCATGAACTTTCATAATGTCTTACATTACAGGTGATAAACTATAATATTTTTAGGGAATTTTTTTATCTTAAATTCAAATTGTGTCCCTCAACTAATTACCTATTTACATTTTTCAATTTCATGATAAACTGTTGTCCACTGAAACAGACGGAAAGACACACATATACATACACACACTTAAATGTGGTCTACTTTATAAAAATAAAGTCGAAAGGAAAAAAAATAGTTCTTTTAATCCATGTTCTCATTGCAACTGTCATACATCATTCGTGAGAATGCAAAACAGTACAGCCACACATGGAAGACACGTTGGCATTTTCTTTTCAAATTACCTTTCTCCTAGCCTAGGTATTTATCTAAGTGAAATAAAAACCCTATGTTCACACCAAAACCTGTGAGTGAATATTTATACCAATGGTATTCATAATTGCCCAAAACTGGAAACTACCCAAATATTCCTGAACTAGGAAATGGATAAACTGTGGTAGGAGCCTCCATAAAATAGAATCGTGTTCAGCAATAAAACGGAGGCAACTACTGATACATACAATAACAGAGATGAGTAAAAAGGCCAGAAAAAGAGTAAAAAAGGCATCAGCTAAGTAAAAAAGGCCAGAATCAAAAGAACACATACTCTACAATTCCATTTCTATGTTATTGCAAAGGCAAAACGACAGGGACCTACAGAAGACAAGCAGCTGGGTGCCTGGGTGGCTCAGTTGGTTAAGCGACTGCCTTCGGCTCAGGTCATGATCCTGGAGTCCCGGGATCGAGTCCCACATCAGGCTCCCTGCTCAGCAGGGAGTCTGCTTCTCCCTCTGACCCTCCCCCCTCTCATGTGCTCTCTCTCTCTTAAATAAATAAATAAAATCTTTAAAAAAAAAAAAAAAAAAAAGACAAGCAGCTGCCAAGGGTGGAAGCTGGAGTCAGGGCTGGCAACAAACAGGCTTCAGGGGCTTTTTCAGTATGATGGGCTGTTCTTTATCTCATGGTGGTAGTGGTTATGTCACTGTATACAACGGTCAACTCACGAAATGGGTGAATTTCACTGTATATAAATTAAACCTCAATTTTTAAAATTGGGGGGGAAGTTAGGGGGCCAAGACAAGGGAAACAGAAATAAGGAAGAATATATCTAAAATAACTACAGCATGAGGGCGCCTGGGTAGCCCAGTGGGTTAAGCATCTGTCTTCGGCTCAAAGAGATATGAAAATATGATAAAGCACTTACATTATTAAGACTAAGAAACCAATTGGAATGGTAAGTTTGAATTCTTTCAAAATTAAACTCAATAGGGTAAAGAGACATGAGGTTTGACTTTTAAGGGAAACGATCTTAAAAAACAAAATATAATGTATAATCAACAGAAATTATCAATCCAATAGAAAACAGAAAAAAGTACTGCCTTCACACAACTCACATGATATTGATAATTAATCAAATGAACTGTTGAGAAATAGCAAGTGCTACTAAGAAAAATAAAGCAGGGGGGACCCCTGGGTGGCTCAGCTGGTTAAGCATCTGCCTTCAGCTCAGGTCATGTTCCCAGGGTCCTGGGATCGAGTCTCACGTCGGGCTCCCTGCTCAGTGGGGAGTCTGCTTCTCTTTCTCCCTCTGCCCCTCCCCACTGCTCATGCTCTGTCTCTCTCTCTCAAATAAATAAAACCTTTAAAAAAAAATAGAAAAAGAAGAAAAAGAAGCAGGATTAATGAGTAAAGTCTGTTGGGGACTGTTTTATCTTTCAGCCTACTCTTTTGAGAATTTTCAAACCTTTTCCAAAGTGGGGAACAAACCATGTATGGATGAGGTATCTAGTATACACCTCCAAATGGAGATGTCAAACAGACGGAAAGTCTGCAGTTCAGAGAAAGGTCAGCCCTGGAAATATAAATACGGGGTTCATCAGCACACAGACAGAACTTAGCCATCACACTAAAGGAGCATTCCCAGAGAGGGAGGAGAGATAAAAGTGTGCATGCTGAAGACTCCACTGAGGACCCAACATTATAAAAGCAGGTAGTCTCTGCAAAAGCCAGCAAAAAATGAGGCGGCAGGGGTGTCAAAAGCAAAAGAAAGAAAACATTTCAAGAAGATGGGAGTATTCAACTAATAAATGATTTTATAGTTTTATTCATGTCTTTCAAATAAGGTCTAAAAAACTCCAAGACTTCAAAGCTGAAGTATACACAGATAGGTTATAATGTCCTCTATTTCTTTTTTTAAAGAATGAAGAAAGAGTAAGGAAAGAGTATAAAAGTTTACAGGTCAATGTCAAGAATCAATCCTTACACTGAAGCTTGGAGTTGTTTGTTCGGCTAGGACCAGCGTGCTGCTGATACTCTGCTCTGGTCTGCGGAAGGTAACATGCTAGTCCACTGGTCTGTTCTGCAATCACCTAAGCCCACAGACATACTTTACCCCAACAACACAAAGAGGCATCAGCCATAAATCTGAAACTATTAAATAATAAAATCCCATCCACATTTACATACCAAGCTTGTACTCTCTGAATTCTATGGCAGCTCCCCACCTGTCACTAATCCCCAACCCAGCTGCATTCCTTCTCTAACCTGATTTTGGCTTCTACACCAACAGAGACCAGGGAGCTCGCAGATTCCTCAGACACAGAACGCTGAAGGACTGGGATCGGCCGTTTGCTGTTGTCCACTTCTGCTTCAGCATCTTCTTCTGCAGACTGTTCTTTGATTTCTGCTTAATAGTGAACAAGAGGATTAAAAAAGTCATTTTCGCATTTAAATCAATCTTTGGTGGATTTATCTGTAATGTATACAAGGCATGGGAAGAACATTCAAAGAGCAATGGCAATGCTTCACTAATACAGGAAGAGTTTATGTATGTAATCAGCGCTTCACTAATACAGGAAGAGTTTATGTATGTAATGGCGTGATTTACATTTACTCTCTATTGCAACATGATCGTTGAAATAATTGAAACATAGCACACTTCTTTGTGTGCACCTTACAACTGACTCAGTGGCGTTTCATCTTAGTAATAACTGTTAAGAACCTTATTTGTAGGATTATAGCAGTTCATCTAAAGAAAAAATGTATTTCAAAGTGACTCACTTAAAAAAAGGTTCTTCACAATTTATAAATAAAATTATCATTCATTTAAAACAATCATTACAGGGGCGCCTGGGTGGCTCAGTTGGTTAAGCGACTGCCTTCGGCTCAGGTCATGATCCTGGAGTCCCGGGATTGAGTCCCACATCGGGCTCCCTGCTCAGCGGGGAGCCTGGTTCTCCCTCTAACCCTCCCCCCTCTCATGTACTCTCTCTCTCTCTCATTTTTGCTTTCTCAAATAAATAAATAAATCTTTAAAAAAAAATAAAACAATCATTACAGCCTAATTAGTAGTCATTCTAAAGGTAAATAATTGAAAAGAGCACATCTTGGCTCCACTGCCTTTTTCATTTACCCTCAAGACTCCAACCCCAAAAAACAACACACATACTATCGTAGGAGGCAAGTTAACAAACACTATCACCCATAATATCATGTGTCTCTTTAAATAAAAACGAACTATCCACTCTTGGAGACTGCATCACTGGACATGAACAGGCGCTGTCCCTCCACCAGTGCTCCTGATGCAATTCCACGCTCCAGTCGGTCCTTTTTTCCTAACCTGAAATTTACTCAGACCTTTCCGCACCACCACCCCAAACCAAAGAAACAAATACCAAGCACTTAGAGTCCTTCAAACTCCTCCTCTCTTTCTTTCCTTCTCCCAGTACAATTCATGAAATGGGACTTTGGAGGGGCCACACTCCATTACCTTCCTAATGGGCATCCTCCCACTGCAATGCTGTTCTCCCCACCACGACCGACAGTAACAGAACTCACAATCCAGGGGTTCCTTGCAAGCCTTTCAACTTCCCAGAAATTCATCTGGAACCAAGGAGAACCTCCTCCTCAGTGAAAGGCTCTCCCACCTTCTATAAGCAAGAGATGTAATGAATTCCTACAGGCTTCAGAGTCATCAAGGCTCTCGAGTACCAGTTCTACCAGCTTTTGTCTATACAATCTATATAAAGTCATCTCCCAAGTTCACCACGTCTCACCTGCAAAACCAAAACGCTACCATGTATCTCACATGGTTGCTAACGAAAATTAAATGACCTAATATCTGTCTCTTCATCTGGTTTCTTTTTGACCTCTAAATGCGGGAATAGCCCTCAGGATGTCCTTATTTGCTCTTTCTTCTTGAAGAACTTAATGATTATCCAGGTTTCAACAGTCTCCTCTGGACTTCCTGGTCATCAGCTGACACCTGCAGGCCTGGCTCCTCTCTTGAGTTTGAGACCACACTTTAAACTGCATTCTGGACATATCCAGCAGTTGAACACTGAATTCCACGCCAAATTTGATCTCACATCTCTCAGATCAGCTCTTCAATCTGACTTTCCTATTTTTATAACTATCAAAGTCTCCTAAATTCATAATGAAGTTTAGGTAAGTGTTTTGACAAACAACTTTGAGAACTATTAATTGTTCAGTTAGAAAAACTACAAATAATGATAAGTCTTGTCGAATCATGAAATGAATGATGAAATAAAGCATCAAACAGATGCTTCAGACAGTTTTGGTTCTCCTATTTAAAATAACATTGTTCTGGGCGCCTGGGTGGCTCAGTTGGTTAAGCGACTGCCTTCGGCTCAGGTCATGATCCTGGGGTCCCAGGATCGAGTCCCACTTTGGGCTTCCTGCTCAGCAGGGAGTCTGCTTCTCCCTCTGACCCTGCCCCCTCTCATGCTCTATCTCTCATTCTCCCTCTCAAATAAATAAGCAAAATCTTAAAAATAAAATAAAATAAAATAACATTGTTCTGGGGCGCCTGGGTGGCTCAGTCGTTAGGCGTCTGCCTTCGGCTCAGGTCATGATCCCAGGGTCCTGGGATCGAGCCCCATATCTGGCTCCCTGCTCAGCAGGAAGCCTGCTTCTCCCTCTCCCACTCTCCCTGCTTGTGTTCCCTCTCTCACTGTGTCTCTCCGCCAAATAAATAAAATCTTTAAAAAAAAAAAACAACATTGTTCTTTCCTAAATTGAAATAGTAAAGTTGACCAAAAATCAAGTGCTTCTGGGCCTATCTATCATGTTGTCTGTCCTGTCTACCCCTAGCCACAAAACTGAGAGAGTACCTGGAATCAAATCTACAAATATCAAGTATATTTGTATCAAAGGGTTATAAAAAGATTTGCAAACTTTATTACATTAAAATACTAAATTTCTATATAAAAAGATATCATGAACAAAATGAAAAGTACATCATAGATTGGAAGAAAATACATGTGATTTATATCCACAAATAGGCATTCAAATCTAGAGTATGTAAAGAACTTTGCATCATGAAAGATGAACAAGGCACATTACCCTACAGAAAAATGGACAGAGGATTTCTTTTACACCCAAATTTCAAAAGGGCATATAACTTCTTAGCTACTATTTCTCAACCTTTTTTGTAGCTAATTGTGGCAAGTTCTCACCAATACAGTATGACCAAAAGTGACCACGCAACTTCTACGTCACCTAACAGGCAGGGATTTGCCCTAGACTAAATTATGCTCCCTCTTTCCTATGGACAGGAACACAGACACATCAGCAACCCAGATGCAATGCTGCCGATGAGAACAACACTCTCACGAAGGACAGAAGAACAAGATGAAAGGAGCCTAGGTTCATAAACAACCACAGGGAGCAAAGATGCCTGAACCTCTCACTTTCAGAAATTCTGCATGAAAAAAAAAATTAGTTTGTTTTATTTACGCCACTGTTGTATTTTGGGGTCTCTGTTTACAGCATTTTAGCCCATGCCCCAATTAACACAAGAGTGGGGAACTGCAGTAACAAACACTTAAAATGTGGGTTGGTGATCAGGCAATGAGAACAGTGATACTAGAGTTTGGAAACCAATTGACCCTTTTTATGCTGTATCAAAATATTTGGTAGATCTGTGACCTGCAATATCTTGGAAAGCAGACCAGATGCTTGCAGAGCCTATAGGTCTGGGGAAAGCATGTGGAAAGACCCAAAAGTTATTTTGTGTTGCCTGCCCTCTACGTGCTTTTATAACCAAAGACAGAAAGTAACATGGTTCCACTAGACAGAGTCCCTCTGCCTATTATATTCAAAATACTATAAAATACCATATATAAAAATGCCTTTAAGGAAGCATTTCATTTCTACCCAGAGATGCCCTGAACACATGTGGGATATACTCTTTTTGTATGATTCCTATTATTAGGTAATAAGGAAGAGTAAGAGTCAAGATAAGAGCAGCAATAACAAGAGTACCTCAGAAGCTCACAGAGCCTGAGCCACATGGACCAGAGTCATGTGCCATTATATTGCCCTGGGAGACTTTTCTCCTGAGGGCCGGCTAGCTCTCCTAGCTTCCACCCCTAAACTGCATTCCCTCCAACAGGGTGCAGCCTGTCTGCTCTCTGGTACATGCTGCGATCTACCACGTGTGGCCTCTCGTCAAAATTCTTCTCCGGGCAAACTGTAGCACAATCCCAACTACTTCCTTATTTTGCTCTCCTTCAAAAAGAAAATACAGAACACTTTCAATATTTTTAGGAGCTTTTTTGTTGCTTATAACTAAGGGGAAACCAGTAGGTTTCAGTGTCTCTCTCTGTGTCTGTGTGCTTTGTCTCTCTCTCCTTCTCCTTCTCTCAAATTAGGTCAGAAAGAGATGGCAAAGTTAAACATAAATGTTAATGGTAGGCTGGTAGATATTCAGGTACACAACCTTTAGAAATTAGGCTCCTTGCATTTCAGAGGAGCAAAAAAACAGATTCAGACTAGAGGGAGGTTTTTTCCTAATGGGATCTGGAACTGGCCTGACCCACAAAGGGGATAACAGTAAGGCAGGCTTCACGAGTCCATCCTGTTCTCCCCTTTGCTTCCAGCTATTACTGGGTCTGCCCCAAGATCCTACCCTGGATCTGCTGAAGACACACTAGGGATTGACGGGTTTGGGCTGGGTTTTTGGTTTGGATTTTGTTGTTTTAGTCATTTGTTTTTTAAGGAATAAGGAGAAATAAAGAGGAATCTGCTTCCTAGGGAGCAATTCCAACCACAAAACAGAAACAGGAAAAAGTATCCCTAAATATGTGAAACTATACATAATGACAGAACCTATCTTTTTTAATTGTCACTCTTCGTTTAGTAGAAAAAATGAGATCTTACTATCTGTCTTAAGTCAAGCCAGGACAATTAAACTAATGTTTATGTCTCTCTCTTCTCCTAGCCCAAGTCTTCACAGCAAAATGTGAAACAGATTGCTCTGGTTGAAAATGATGTCATCCAAATATCCAACCAGAGATATCAACCAGAAATGCTCTGGTGAAATGACTGTAAACTCAATGACAACTGAGGGAAGAGTTCTGATGCCAGTACTTGCTTATCCATGGTTTACTAACAAAAATGCACTCTTGAACACCATTCTGGGCCTGGGCCAAAACCACAAAAGCTAGCCATTCAACCAGTAAAATAGCCCAGGCTCGGCTACTTTGCAGAGTTTTTGCCTTTCGTGGCATTCTATTCGTTCAAATGCCTAACAGTCTACAACTATGAAATGGGAGTAAGCAGGCAGTTTTTACATTTTAATATTTTCCGTGTTATATTTTTCTTTGATATAAAATATTCAGTGCATCTTTCTCCTTACTCTGAACTTGACCTAAAATAAAG